CTCTCTCTCTCTGTGAATATTAGCTGTGTATCTTGTAATTTACAGAGGAGCTGATTCAGACTCCTGCAGCATTTTTCAGCTGCTGGTAATTAGTGCATGTTGAGACACAGAGAATTATCTGCTTCAAAGTCATTCATGAGGCTGATAACTGCTGAGTGTGTGTGCCCGTGTGCTGTCAGTTAGCTGAATTGCCTCGATTAAGCAGCAGATTATCAGGATTTTCTAATTATTAGGGAGTAATTAAGAGTGAGCTGAGGATTATCAGACCGAAACATGGAAACAGTGAAGGAAGAAAACATTCACATGCATTAATACTGAAACAGTAAAACAAAGAAACACTAACACAGCACAACAAAGAGTTCATCATTAAGTCTGGATTTGGCAAACACTAGCAAATCTGAAGGATGCACAATGGCACAGGAAGGGTCTAAAAATAAATGTTTAACTGTGGGGTTGTAGGTTCAGTTACAGGTAAAGTGAACCAAAATCAGAATTAAGGAGGCAGTCTGAATGAGTGATTCAACGGATTTGTCATCATGTAATCAATGATTCAAAAGTAGAAACTGGGGATGAAAAAAAGACTAAAAAGATAAATGACAATAAAAAAAACCAACAAAATAATGCAGCTTTAATGCAGATGAGATTTTGTATATTCAGTACTACAGCAACACGGATAACAGCTTTAAGGAAGGATTCTAAATGGTATAAAGACAGATTTAAAGCAAGCTAATTTATTCTAGGAATACCCATCGATTCAAAAACTATGTAGATGCTAGTGATTCAGAAAGAAAGATTTAAAAAATGGAAGAAAGGGGAAGGTGAAATAACAAAATTATTAAAAATTTAAAGATGTTGGGATTCAGTATGGTTCAGTAAACGAATAGAAATAAAAATGCCTACTGGACTGCATAGGTTAATAGTACAGTTTGAATTTAAATTAGGCTAACGAAGGATAAAAAAGGATAGTTAAGAATGAAAAATGGTGTAATCAAAAAATTAAAAACATAAAATTAGAGATGGGATTGTTTAAAATTTAAAATGTTAAAAGGAGGAGATTAGATGCAGTAAGAGACTACAGGTTACAGACTCAGCTAGTTACAGGAGTCAAACTGAGGAGTTAAAACAAGTGCAGTAAGAGAGTACAGTTTGCAAATTCAGTACTACACGTATCAAAAAAGAGGTGAGGGGATTATAAATGTCATAACGAGACATTCAAAGTAAGCTAATGAAGGATTCGTCAACATATAAACTAGTGTTGAAAAGAAATACAAAGTAGGGATTCAAAACAGCACAATAAAAATACAAATACAGAGGTTGAGTACTTCAGATGGATTGACTCAAAGTGAGACGAAGGAAGGATTCTGAATGGCACAATTAACCTTTTTAAGTAGGCTCGTCATAAAACAGATGATTCAAAATCATTTGAAACCAAAGATTGTAAATTGCACAGTGAAAAGAAAATACTAACCGGAGAAAGAAATTTGATTCAATACAATAGAAACATCTAAAATGGGAAGAAGGTGGGATTCCAAATGGCATATTACGAGTTCAAATAGAGAAAAATGTAATCATCTGTAATCAAATTAATCATTAAATTAAATGGAAAATTAAGTGGAAAAGTAAGCTTAAATGGAAAAGTGAGACCAGTATAGGGCTGAGAACTGAAAGAACGGGGTGATTCCGTATATAAACAAGGGAGGACTCAAACAGGACTCAATGAATGACAAATTGCATGAAGGAGGGAATCAATTGGCACAATTAAATATTTAAAACAGAAGGTGCAGAGGGCGACTACAATGGCAAATAAATAATTCAGGATGGTAATTAACAGGGATGACTAAAGTTAGAGCTCAAAGTGGCAAAGTGAAAGCATCAATAGGGGTTCAAAGTGGCAGGATGATGGATTCAAAAGAGATTTATGATGGAAAATGGAAATGAAATGAAGGAGGAAGGATTTGAAAATGCCACAATGATGGATTAACAATGGCTTAATTAGACATTTGAAAGCTCAAGGATGAGAATAAAAATGGATTTTGTTCTGTATTAGAAAAATGGGGATTCACAATGGCACATTGGGAAAATTGGAAACTTAGTGGTCAGCAGTGCGGTCAAACTTCTTTGTTAGGCTGAGGAAGACGGGGAGGCTGAGGAGGAGGAGCAGGAGTAGAACATATGATGTGTTTGATATCACCTCTTCTCTCCTGCTGAGCGAACGCTTCACTCTGATGTTTTATATATAATTAAAATGTTTTCTGTACAGGCAAAAGGGTCCTAGTTGTCCTAATTGTAGCTCCACCCTCCTCATTATTGTACCAGGGAGGAGGAGGAGAAGGTGGGTGGGGTTAATGGAGGAGCTAATGATTAACATAGAAGCTCAGTGCATTAATTGGATATTTCAATGTGTACAGAGGTGAATGTTTATTATTCTGCAGGAGGAGGGAGAAACACGGCAGTTAGTTTGTGGGATTTTATTAAGATGAACTTAATGAGTCAATTTGGGGTTTATAGAGAAGGAAGTGGGAGGCGGAGTTTTATTCAGAGGTCTCCACAGAGCCTCACAATCTATTTGTTGGGAAGATAGCAGTGCTTGCTTGCACTTTATTAATGCCTACACACAAGTTGCAGCTTTTTAAATATTTTTTTAGTACAGTTTTTCTAAATAATCCCTACCAAACTCAAACACTAATTCCAAGATTTAAAATATCTTCACTTTTCCCAAGAGCATTGTCTTGTCGTGCAAAAGGATGGACAAAGGAGGCCTGATTATCATAAAAACTAAAATAGGCTTATCTCATGTAACCACAAGTAAAAATGTAGGTTAAGAAACACACGATCCAAAGGTTTTAATCTCAGGATCAGTGAGTGTGCTGAGCAACACGTTCAACAAAGCTGGGTTTTCTTTGTGTTAGCTGACTATACAAACATTAAAGCCCCAGTCAGGGGCTAGTACAATGGTGGTAACTTTTTTTTTCATGTAATCCAGGCTTCTGGTCTCTGTTCACTCTCACTTAAACATTTAATGAGGCACATCGGTCAGTTCACTGATTGAGCGTTGCTCACTACAGGTTATAAAACGTGTAATTTAAAAGAAAGATATTAGACATATAACATGACATATAGACTAATGATCTAATCATCTCTATTTCAGGCAGAAAAGCGCCTGACAGAAAGGGCCTGGCCCACTTAAGGTCAAGCCTGCTGTAGGGCTGGGGTAGAGTTAATTTGAACCCAAATGCTTCTTGAATTTATGAAGTGCTAATTAATTTTTTTTGTTTTTACAGTTTAATTTAAGCAAATAGGAACTGAACTCGAAGGTTGTTTTACAGAACAGCCCATCTTTTAAAGATCTTTCAAACTCAGACGTGAACTGTCATAGTAACTCCTCTTCTTTCTTTGTGTCTCTCTAGAGTTCCTCTGTTCACCAGCCTCAGGGTTATCACCGCCTTCATCTTAATCCAGACAACAAACCAAAAACCAGACCTCCCACAGCCCAAACGTCACCCGTTCTGATCCATTGTTTCCATGGATGATTGCTTCAACCTTCCTGTTGTGGAGCCTTTTTTGCACTTGACATTTCTAAACATCTGGAAACAATAGTTTTTTTTTCCAGAGTCACAGTAGCAACAGTGGGAGCAACAACCACAGCAATAATGACACAATACCAGCAACAATGCCTCTGACATCAGAGGCTACAGTAGCAATAAGTGGAGCCTGAACCAGCTTGAAGCAACCAAAGCCTTTAATCCTCTCTCTGTGCAAACTTTACAACAAGCATTTCTTTTATTGCAGTTTTTCTTTTTAATATAAAGTAGATAAAAATAATAATAAAAAAACAGAATGTACTTAAGAGCAAGTCCTTCATAAAGACCCAAAGTCAGGTTGCAAACTGCTGGACGGCTTTTGCTAACTCTACTAACTTTCATTTTTTGCTCTTTTATGATTTTGGTTCCTTTGTGGTGTCATATGTCAGCTTCAGGGGTTTTAATGAAATAATGAGAATTTACAATTATATGAAATAGAACAATTACTTATTTAAAGACAAATTTTATACCTTCTGAGAACATATGTGTACATTTTCTGGACTGGACTGGAATAAATAATTATATTCAGAGTCATGTTTGTCTTTTTGTTTTTCTTTGAGCATGGAGGCTGTTTCCCCAAACTGAGGCTAAATAGCTCAGATATCTGGAATTGAAGGGAGCTGAAGAAGGTTTACAGTTAATAACACTGTGCAGACCTCGCCCTCTTGATATGTAGTGGTATTTTCGCCTAGCATCTAAACATTTGTTTTGCCTGAATGGTCACACACCTGGTCTTACATGAAAATCTCCTTCTCTGAAAGGATCTGCAAAGAAGGATGGGATAAACCTCTGTAAATCCCGCTGTGCAAAGCCAGCAGAGACGTTCCCAAGAAGACTGAAAGCTGTAATTGCTGCCAAAGGGATTTATATCAACTACTGAATTAATAATGTGGAATCTGATTTTTAAAAAAGTTTTATTTCACTTTAGCTGAATGCGGTTTTCAGTGTATACCGACGGCGTAAACCTATACAAGTAGATTTTAGTGCCATCCCTCTAATTTCACAGTAAGGAGTTAGCAGATCTGGGGCCCTTATCTCTTGGTGCTTATTGCTGTGGCAGGTATATCAAGGTACAGCTACCAGGAGGCTCCTGGAAATAAATTATGAGGAAAAACCTGGGATGAGAAGTCATTGTTGGAGCTCAAAGAAAAGTTAAGTAATCAGCGGGTAGTTTGTTCTGTCAGACATTTGGCACAAACTGCTCCCAGTCCAGATGTTGGAGTCTGTGTGTGATTGTATTGGTGTTCGTGGTGTTTGTGTGTTAAAGACGGAGTGAGACAAACCAGCCTGCCAGTTCTGCCCTCATTTGCATCTGCTAATGGCTCCATGATGCCGGTTTCTGATCACTGCAACCACACATTTAAAATCCTGCTTCTGTGCCAGATGCTCCTCTCTCCCTCTGCCTCGTTCAGGGATTCCTGCTTCCATCCTGTAACAGCAGATCCGTCCGTGCTCCGCATGAGAAAACAGCAGCTGAGGTTTGACTGGAGGCAGGAAGCAGCACCAGTAATGATGATTTCAGGTGATAAATCTGGATTTATGCTCAAACTTTACAACCGTGAGCTTGCCACTTTAAAACCATGAGCATTACTGTGCTGCTGCTGTGAAAGCTTCCTACATGTGTAGGAAGCTAGCTGCAGACTTTTGCTTCTATTCAGGCACAAGAACACTTCAGTCAGAGATGCTTACAGCACAGTGAGAGGTTGTGAAAAGTCTCTGTCTGTGGGGGGGGCTCTTGAACAATATGAGAGCATGAAAACTTCATATCATAAATAGAAAAAGCTTAACACATCCAAAGAGGATGTGTTAAGCTTTTTCTATGTTTTATGTTTGAGAGGGAAATGCTGTGTGCTGTAAATGTCCGGTCTCATGTTCATACCTACAGCACATCCTAGTAGTATAAATATCTGTTCCATAAAGGTACTCTGGTCTCTGGTGAGAGCCTCAAAATGATTCAAACCATCACTGACCTTTCCAGATATCAAATATGAAATTTTTAACTCTTTAAAAGTGGAAAATCTTCACTTTGAGTACATGGAATCAATGTAGAGCAAATATTTTTAATGTGGATTTAACGGAGGTGAAAGTCAGAATATCTCTGATATCCACTGGAAATGTTTGTACTCTATAGTAAATGCTGCTGCTGCTGCATGTCTGGGAACCGTAACCCTTTTACCTTATAACCTGAGGAGGAGGAGGAGGAGGGTTCACACAGTGAAAAAGAAACATGTTTTGGATTTTAGCCATTTGGAAATTTATAGACACGAGTCCAGACTTCTAACTTTTTCCTCTGAAAAAACTCAAAGTTGGTGCAGAGACCAGAGAACTAATGTGATGTTGCACTCACCTTTGTCTTTGTCAGGACAAAACTGTTAAAACACTGAAGTATCTCCAAATGGTTAGAGTCTCCAGTTTGCTGTGCTTTCAAGCTTAAACTTTCTTTGTTTGTACTTTACCCGCCTAAACAGCCAACACCAGATACTTTTCCTGACACAACCATCAAGGGATTGGATCTCCTTCCAAGCTCAAACAAGGGACCTCTTGCTTGTTAGTCACATATGGCAAACATGTAAACCACTACAACCCCTCGCCCTTCAAGAAACAAACAAATAAAGAAATACCCATGCGGGCAAACAATAGATCAGTGTGGGTAAACTGTGGGGCTGTGTGGGCAGGGCAAACCCCCACATATCCCATATCACTTAACCATAATGTGGGCCCACAGGACTAAGCTTACTGTGGGGCCTGTATGGGCTAATCCATGGGGTGTGAATGAGTGGCCCTAAAGTGCCCCAAAGGGCAAAACTGCTACAGGCCCTGTGTGGACACAGTCAACTGGGGCACTTGTTGGATAAACGTGGGTTTGCCCCATCTACAGAGCCCCACAGTTCACACACAGCTACCTATTGTGGGCCTGTGTCGGCATGTTTGGGGTTGGGTGCAATGTATGCCAGGCGGCGGCTACTAAGACTAGCAATTGGGACATGGAACGTCACCTCTCTGGTGGGGAGAGGGGCCGATGGCGCGATATGGCAGCCTTGCTTCTGTCAGTCTGCCCCAGGGCAGCTGTGGCTACAACTGTAGCTTGCCTCCACCAGTGTGTGAATGTGAGAGTGAATAAATAGTAGCATTGTAAAGCGCTTTGGGTGCCTTGAAAAGCGCTATATAAATCCAATCCATTATTATTATTATTATTATTATTAGATATAGTAGAGTTTCCCTTGGTGGCGGTATCCTAGTATTCCCTCAGCTTGCTGCCTGTTGGGGTTTTTCCCGGTGGACGAGAGTTTTGTTCCCTGCGCTTTTGGGTTGGGGAACGGGTCCTGACTGTCGTCTGCGCTTATACATCGAGTGGTGGCTCAGAGTACCCAGTCTTCTTGGAGTCCCTGGGTGGGGTGCTTGAGAGTGCTCCACCTGGAGACTCTGTTGTCCTACTGGGAGACTTCTATGCTTATGTGGGCAACGACAGTGAGACCTGGAGGGGCGTGATTGGGAGGAACGGCCACCAGGATCTGAAGTCCACAGTGTTTTGTTGTTGGACTTCTGTGCAAACCACATTGTCCATAACAAATACCATGTTTGAACATAAGAGAGTCCATAAGTACACGTGGCACTAGGACATTCTAGGCCGCAGGTCAGTGATCAATTTTCTAAGCGTATCGCCAGACCTGTGGCCATATCTTCTGGACACTTGTGTAAAGAGAATGACTGAGCTGTCAGGATCAGGTAGCGGGGGAAGATGCAGGACAGACTTGGAAAGTGAGTGTGCACTGGGAACGCCTGGCAGAGGCCCTGGTTCACGAGATCTTCAATGCAGACCTTCGGCAGAGCTTTAACACCATTCCGAGGGAGACTGGGGACATTGAGTCTGAATGGACCATGTTCAGCACTTCCATTGCCAAAGCCGTTGCACTGAGCTGCAGCCGCAAGGTGGTTGGTGCCTGTCGTGGTGATAACCCCCGAACCAAATGGTGGACACCAAAGTTGAAGGGAATACCAGGTTGAAGAAGGAGCCCTATCGGGCTTGGTTAGCCTGTGGGACTTCGGAGGCAGCTGATAGGTACTGACAGACCAAGCGGAACGCGGCTCAGGCAGTGGCTGACGCAAAAACCCTGGTGTGGCAGGAGTTCGGAGTTTGGAGTTACCGTTGTCATCGATTCTGTTGGTAATTTTTATGGACAGAATTTCTAGGCGTAGCCAGGTGGCAGAAGGCTGTCACTTTGCTTGTCTCAGAATCTCATCTCATCTTTTTGTGGAAGTTGTGGTTCTGTTGGCTTCATCAGGTGATGGCCTCCAGCCTGCACTGGAGCAGTTTACAGCCGAGTGTGAAGCAATAGGAATGAGAATTAGCACTTCCAAATCTGAGGCCATGGTCCTCAGCTGGAAAAGGGTGGAGTGCACACTCCAGGTCAGGGACGAATTCCTGCCCCAAATGGAGAAGTTCAACTATCTTGGGGTCTTGTTTATGAGTGATGGGAGAAGGGAGCGGGAAATCGATAGATTGATGCTGCAGCTGCAGTGATGCGGACGCTATACCGGTCCATCGCGTTGAAGAGAGAGCTGAGTGTATAAGCAAAGCTCTCAATTTATTGGTCAGTCTGCGTCCCTATCCTCACCTGTGGTCATGAGCTGTGGGTAGTGACCGAAAGAACGAGATCGTGGATACAAGTGGCAGAAATGGGCTTACTTCAAAGGGCGAGGAGTTTGGCCAGAAAAGAGCTGCTGCTCCTCCACACCGAAAGGAGCCAGTTGAGGTGGTTCGGGCATCTGATAACGATGCCTCTGGGTGAGGTGTTCCAGGCATGTCCTGATGGGAGGAGACCCCGGAGCAGATCCAGGACATGCTGGAGAGATTATATCTCTCGGCCGGCCTGGGAACGCCTTGGTGTTCTCCCAGACAAGCTGGAGGAAGTGGCTGGGGAGAAAGAGGTCTGGGCTTCCCTGGTTAGGCTGCTGCTCCTGCGACCCGGCCCCGGATAAGTGGAAGAAGATGCATGGATGGATGTATGGAAAAAAACCCATTCTGCACAGTTTGTGTACTCGATTGTGTCCTGTTTTTAAAATGTCACCCTCCTCCTCTTGCATGTTAACAGTCAGAAGTGTAAGTTAAACAGGAGAGAAGTTGCAGCTTTCATGTTGCATATTTCATGAATCTGAACATAAAACTGAATCTATGAGCATGCAGTGGGTTCATCAGCATTTTCAGTCTTTAACCAGCTGTTTCCTCTGGAATTAAAGCAACAAAAAGATAAAATTAATAACAAGCAGAAGAAAAAGGCTCCAGCGCTGAGGAGAGCTGCAGAGCATAATTATCAGGGTATTTGTCACCACGAGCGACCCCTTTCACGTACACAAATTAATTGTTTGTGTTTTTAATGTATGAATATTCATGAGAGCGGCTTTAGGGATATAGGGTTAGGGGTTAGAGAATCCATTATATCAATACAAACACAAGCTTGTGTGTGCGTGTTTGTGCAGTCGTCGTTTGTTCTGGTTATTTCTGGATGTCACATCTGATTGTTTCCATCAC